TGAGAGGAATTTTAGGGAATTTTTGGGGGATTTTTTGGGAGTTTTTGGGGTTTTTTTGGGGGGGATTTTTTGGGGGATTTTGAGGGAATTTTTGGGAGGAATTTCAGGGAAATTTTGGGAATTTTGGGGGGGATTTTTTTGGGGTTTTTGGGGGGAATTTTTGAGACTTTTTGGGGATTTTTGGGGGGCATTTTTGGGAAATTTTGGGGGGAATTTTGGGGGGATTTTTAGGGAATTTTTGGGGGGAATTTTGGGGATTTTTAGGGAATTTTTGGGGGAAATTTTTGGGATTTTTTTTTGCGATTTTTAGGGAATTTTGGGGGAAATTTTTGGGATTTTTTGGGGGATTTTTAGGGAATTTTGGGGGGGATTTTGGGGAGATTTTGGGGGTTTTTGGGGTCCCAAAAATCGAAACCAAGCCCGGATCCAGCGGGGGTCGCTTTTATTCCTCGGAAAGAGCCCAAAAATCGGGAATTTTTCAGGAATCTTCCTTCTCCTGAAACCTGTGGGGAAAAAAAGGCGGGAAATTTGGGGATTTTGGCGGGAAAATTTGGGGGATTTTAGGGTTAATTTGGGGGCGTTTTGGGGATAATTTTGGGGTTTTGGGTTAATTTTGGGGATTAATTTAATTTGGGGGATTTTGGGGTCGTGTTTGTGGGAAAATTTGGGGGATTTTGGGGTTAATTTGGGGGATTTTGGGGAAAATTTGGGGTTTTTAGGGGTAATTTTGGGAATTAATTTGGGGATAATTTGGGGTTAATTTGGGGGATTTTGGGGTTGTTTTTGTTGGAAAATTTGGAGGAATTTGGGGGTTTTTATGGGTCAGTTTTGGGACGATTTTGGGTTTTTTAGGGGTTGTTTTGGGGATAATTTTGGTCAGTTTTGGGTCAGTTTTTGGGTGTTTTTTGGGAGTTTTTTTGGGTGTTTTTGGGTCAGTTTTAGGTCAGTTTTGGGTCAGTTTTGGGGTCAGTTTTGGGTAGTTTTTGGGTGTTTTTTGGGTCAGTTTTGGGTCAGTTTTGTGTCAGTTTTTGGGTGTTTTTGGGGTCAGTTTCTGGGTAGTTTCTGGGTGTTTTTGGGGTCAGTTTTTGGGTACTTTTTGGGTGTTTTTGGGGTGTTTTTGGGCTCAGTTTTTGGGTAGTTTTTGGGTGTTTTTTGGGTCAGTTTTGGGTCAGTTTTTAGGTAGTTTCTGGGTAGTTTTTGGGTGTTTTTGGGGTGTTTTTGGGCTCAGTTTTTGGGTAGTTTCTGGGTACTTTTTGGGTGTTTTTGGGGTGTTTTTGGGCTCTCACCCGCAGCGGGGGCAGCTGTAGAACACCGTCTGGCCCTCGTCGGCCGAGCGCATCTGACGCGTGTGGTAACTCATCCCCTCGTTCCCGCAGCGGGGACAGCGCCGCTCCACCTGCCCCAAAATCCCGGGATTTAACCCCAAAATCCCGGGAATTATCCCCAAAATGCCCTCGTTCCCACAGCGGGGACAGCGCCGCTCCACCTGCCCCAAAATCCCCGGAATTATCCCCAAAAATCCTGGGAATTATCCCCAAAATCCCGGGAATTATCCCCCAAAATCCATGGGATTCATCCCAAAAATCCCCTGGGATTCCAGCCCCAAAATCCCCAGAGTTATCCCCAAAATCCTCGGATTTATCCCCAAAATTCCCTGGGATTTATCCCCCAAATCCTCGGAATTTATCCCCAAAATCCCCAGGGATTCCAGCCCCAAAATCCCAGAATTTATCCCCAAAATTCTTTGGGATTCATCCCAAAAATCCCCATGGATTTATCCCCAAAATCCCCGGATTTAACCCCAAAATTCCCTGGGATTCCAGCCCCAAAATCCCCAGATTTATCCCCAAAATCCCCAGGAATTCATCCTAAAATTCCCAGTTTTAAATCCCCAAAATTCCCATTTTCTATCCCCCAAAAATTCCTGTTTTCCAGCCCCAAAAATTCACACTTTTTATCCCCCAAAAACTCCCAAAAATTCCCAAATTCCCCCCAAAAATCCCCCTAAAAAATTCCCAAATTTCCTTCCAAAATCCCCCAAAATTTCCCAAATTCCCCCCAAAAATTCCCACAAAAATTCCCCAAAATCCCCCCAAAATTTCCCAAAATTCCCAAATTCCCCCCCAAAAAATCCCCCGAAAATTCCCAAATTCCTCCCAAAAATCCCCCCAAAATTTCCAAATTCCCCCCCCAAAAATTCCAAATTCCCCCCCA